AAGCTAAAGGATCCCAATGAGTTCTCCGATTTTCCCAGACAGTAGAAGCAATAATAATGTTAATTTTTCTCAGCCCCCTAACGTTATGATATGGATCATGCAACAAAAACGTTCATATAAAAATAAATATTCCCACTGTAAATTGACTTAAACAACAATCACTAGTTGAAAAACTATTGTATGGAATATAGATACATTTAAAAGAGTGTCTGATAAATTAGATCCCTTGAGTTGGTGTGAAATCTCTAAGGAAATCTAAGAAAATGCTACTGAAAGAACACCAAATGCTATATCTAGAGGGAGAAGCATCATCAGCACAGCTTCTGATATTAGAATTTCAGTACTTCCTAAACTCACAAACTTGTTTTGGAAATGTGAAAGTTCATCATCAATGAATGGTAGATGATTCTCTAATATGCAAATCTACCCCCTGCCTGGGAATTGTGTTCTTTTTCACTTTTTGTTTCAGACAAGAAGGTTTAATTTTGTATAACTAGAGTCGCTAGCTGATCTGGAAAATGGCTATAAATGATCTTACAAGTGCCAGATATTTATTTTTAAACTCTTCTTGATTGAATTGAAATGTTCTTTTAGATACCTGACAAGGAAGTCTATGTACACTTAGATCTTCATGAAGTCACTGAGCAAGATGCAGTAATGAAGAGATTCTTGACTGAATTGAAATATTCTTTTAGATACACTGAGCAAGATGCAGTAATGAAGAGATGATCCTCCTGTAAAGAACTTCTCTAAAATTCAAGTAGGTATGACTATTCATGGTGGGGTTTTGTCCAGGCCTGTAGAATATGGTGTCTGACTAACCTAGAGAACTGGAGTTAAAACAAAAGGTAACCAAAGCATTCACTAAAGTTAATAAAAATGGAAAGCCTTCCATTCTTTTCCCAAAATGCCCAAGTTAAAATGCATATGTAAGCAATCATCGATGCTGCTAAAAAGGGATGGAAGTGTCCTTCTTTACCATTCAGAAATGCTATGCTGAGAATTACAGGACCAGTATGTATAAAAGTCATGTGGAATGAAGGAGGAGAATTGGGAGAGACAAAAAAGCTGGCTGAATGCAACCCAGGAAATCTTTGCACTGCATTATGTCAGTATTTCTATATTCCTTGCTTGACTAACTCATGACTAAGATAAAGTTCAAAACAGAGTGAAGTTTGCCTCTGAACACCAGAACCAGGAGCTAACATCAGGGGAAGGACTTGACCTTTATGTCCTATTGTTGGACCCCCAGAAGAAAGGGTTAGCCTCTGTGTAAGACAGCTATACTGGGCTAGACAGACCACTGGCCTGATCCAGCAGGGCTCATATGTGCTTATGTTCATGTGAACTAGACTGGGTTTCCACCAATGCTCCCTCTAAACTGTGGAGTCCTGTGAGCAAAAATTCTACTTTGTGAGCTACTGGCATTAAAGTTGTGAGCGAGCAATTTGGCTGCTGCATAAATTAGTCTTCTCTGGAGCCATCCTTCCTGAGCTCAGACAAAAATGTATGAGCCGGAGGCTTAAAAACTGTGAGCTAGCTCACACTAACTAAGCTTAGAGGGAACACTGGTTTCCACTGAGTTTTAATTGAAGAAGATGGAGATTTGTACCAAGCTGGCTGTGGAGTTTCACTAGGCTATTATAGTTCAGATGTTTTTGAAAATGTACTTTGCATCTCTACAGCATCTGCTTTACAAAAGGATTTTTTCCCTTTGCCTTCAGCTCACAGCCAGCTTACAGCAACCCCGTAGGTTTTTCAAGGCAGGAGATGCTCAGAGGTAATTTGCCATTGTCTGCCTCTGTGCAGCAACCCTGGTATTCCTTGGAGGTCTCCCATCCAAATCCCAAACAAGGCCAATTCTGCTTAGCTTCTGAGATCTGACAAGGTTGGTCTAGCGTTAGACATTCACTAATTGCTACAATACTTTAAAAGCGGGATGCCATTCAAATAGTCTGAACAGCAGTGGATTGCAACCTGCCAACTTTTTTCACTCAGTCTTACTTAATTCTCCTCCTTACACCTCCAAATGTCTTTTGGTCATGACCTCTGGCCCAGCTTCTTTGGTGGTCACTCTCCTCCATATTTTTTTTTTTTTAAGAAAGCTGAAAAACTGCTTTTAACTAATCCAATCCATGGGTTTGTTTCAGTTGTGTTTTAGGAAAGTGAATGTTGACATTATGTGTCACCCATTAGCAAACTTTATCTTGTTAGCATTCCATTATAGGGTTGTGAGGTCTGGGTTGGAAAATACCTAGAGACTTTGGGGGTAGATCCAGGAGAGGGTGAGGTTTGCGGAGGGGCCTCAGCATGGTACAGTGCCATAGAGTTCACCCTTCAAAGCAGCCATTTTCTCCAGGGGGAACTGATCTCTGTCAGCTGGAGATCAGCTGTAAAAGCAATTGATCCCCAAGTCCCATCTGGAGGCTGGAAACCCTATTCCATTACCATTGTATGTAATAAGACAGTGTCATTTCTTTTATCAGTTGTCTTGTATTTCACATCATTTTAATTGACTGCATCCAATAGAAATCTTTAGTTCAAATTATATCAGATTTAATGTTCTATATTTGTTTGGTGTATTTGGGGTGGAATCTTGCATATATATAATTTGGTTTCTTCATCTTTTGCCCTCATTACTCAGTATATTTGATATTACTGTTACAGGCTATTGCTACTGTTACAGTCATTTTGCTACAGTTAGAGTTTATGCTGCCTATTAGAAAAGCTACATTATGCCTATGAAAAGAAGAAATGAGTAATGAATAATTTATCAGACTTACATTTTCTCTCTTTTTTAATCTCCTAAAATACAGGAATGTTGTCAGAAAACCAGACTTCTATACATGAATTCATCCTTGTTGGTTTCTCCAACACTGCAGGAGTCCAGATTTTTCTGCTTATACTCTTCCTGCTGGCCTATGTACTGACCCTATGTGGAAACCTTATAATCATTGCTATTGTCCAGCTCCACCAACAGCTCCACACTCCCATGTACTTATTCCTCAGCCACTTGTCCTTGATTGAGATTGGGCATATGACTAACACAACCCCCAAGATGCTGGTAGACTTCTTAAAAGAGAAAAAGGTTATCAGCACTGTAGGTTGCTTCACACAGCTATACTTCAACCTCTTCCTGGGACTGACGGAAAACTTCCTACTGGTACTCATGGCTTTTGACCGCTACTTAGCCATTTGTAACCCTTTGAATTACACCACTCTAATGGATTCAAGAACTTGCAGAAATTTGTCTGTTGGGTGCTGGGTTGGAGGGTTGCTGGCACCAATATCACCAACTATTATGCTCTGTCGGCTGTCATTTTGTGGACCCAATAGAATCAACCATTTCTTCTGTGATCTAGTCCCAGTGCTGACTCTTCCATGTGGGAACAAGACATTCACTGAAATTTTCTTCTTTTTGTTCACTTGTTCAATGGTGTTAGGTTGCTTCTCCATGATAGTGGTGTCTTATGTTAAGATCATTGTTACTATATTGAGGATGCCGTCCACTGGAGGAAGGCATAAAGCATTTTCAACTTGTAGTGCCCATCTCATTGTTGTATCCATATATTATGGCTCAGTCATGTATATGTATCTTCGGCCTTCCGTAAGGGACATTCGTGATTCAGACAAAATAGTATCTGTCTTTTATTGTACGGTGACACCATTTCTGAACCCTTTCATCTATAGCCTGAGGAATAACAAGGTCCATGAATCATTCAAATTAATGCTTGTTAAGACAAAAGCTATAAGCTAATGATTGTCTCATTTCATTTTTGATTCCCCAACCTTGTTCTTTTTCCCGGGGATTCAAGATGAAATGTATTTTCTCATTCACAACAGTTTTGTGGTGTTTGCCAGACTGAGAGGAAGTAACTGGATCAATTTTATATAATGAGCTTCCTGGCAGAGTGGAGATTTAAACCTGGGCCTTTTTGATCTTTGGACTCAACAGTAACTATAAGTAAAGAAGGGGGGGCTACTTGAAGAAGGTTTCTGGCTTTAAAAAGAATCTTTCATATTCTCATTTACCAGTGAAAAAGCTGGTTGCATCCCACCTTAAGTGAATTATTTATATACATGATGCATAAATCTGATA